GGGGGCGGCGGCAACGAAAAAAGTTCCATAACTCGGGATTTTCATTGTGTCAATATCTTTTGTTTTTGGTTTTAAAGGTGTTACAAGAGTTACATACAAAGAAAAGCAAGAGGCGAGATAAAGATGATAGATGTTTGACACAAAAGAAGGAAAAACACACTTAAACATCCTCCAACCACCCGCTCCTCACTCCCACGAAAGTGGACATCTTTTCTCGCTGCAGAATCGTACTGGAAGCGGCATCAAAACCCATGAGAAATGAATGGTGTCAAGAAAATCTACAAAAGCATTTAATTTATTTTGTCGAGACGACCATCAATGATTTATTTATAGAGGCACCAGCCATCCATGTCCAGGTGCTGTTTTAGCCACAAAACAGGCGAAACAACGCTAAATCATCACCTATCTGTTCCTCAATTTGTCTCTTATATTTTATGTCCTGGTCTTTGATTTTTGAGAATTTAGGAGGAATCTGGCTCACAATTTGGTCTCACTTCTCATCTTTCCGGATGTTTCTTCTGTTGTCTCCTCAGAAAGACAGAATAAGATTCCCACAGAAACAGTCTTTTCTACCTGTGTTTCGATAGTCAGTCTCCTATGCCCCCACAAGATTTTGTGGAACTGGTCATTCGCACACTCACTTCATTTCCATTATGAAATAAAGGATACAATCATGAACTTTGAACTGCCCCTTCCACGAAGAAATCAAGAAAGGTGGACGTTTGGTAAAGGGGTGCGTTGGTTGTGGTGATCTCGAATGAGGTGTTATTTTGAAAATTCATTGTGTGCCCACAGAGAACTCTAACATACTATAACTTTTACTTCCAGACCTTTAGGTTACTTTCTCTGTCTGTCTGTCTGTCTGTCTGTCTGTCTGTCTGTCTGTCTGTCTGTCTGTCTGTCTGTCTGTCTGTATATTTCTTTATATATCATAATATCATATTATAGGCACACACATAATATAATATTACTTAAAAAGAAAATCTCCATATCGGTTCATACTTTAGTTCATTCAATTTCCTGGTTCTTTTACTCTGTTAGTTTGTTAGTCTGTAAACCTGTAAGTCTGTTAATCTGCCAACTTGGAAGACAGACACCTTTTTAGTTGGCTGAGGTTCAGCACAAATCCCTTAGTACAGTTTATTATCAAGAAACCCCTTATGGTTTGAGTCTAGAAAATTTTTGTCTGCGGAGTCTATCAAAAACCGCGACTGTGTAAATTAGCGCCGCAGGGAGCAATAACAGGAAGCAATAATTGCTCCGTATTGTGGCAAGTCGTGCGTTCCAGCGGGGAAAAGCGCTACCTGTGATTTGCATTTAGGATTCCGGGTATTTGGGTAGGAGAAGCCAGCGCACAGGGAGGGGGAACCCGGCTTGAAAGTCGATACAGCGGACTAAGATGCCTTAGTGTCGGCTTTTCTTTCAGTGATCTGACTGAGGGAGGGATGGAAGGTGTGAAGGTGTCGGGTGGGAGGGAAAGCAAGAAGGTTGAGATCGAGGTAGTGAGTAGGTGTGTGTGTGT